CCGAAACCTGCTTTCTAGCTCGCGACCTAGCGGCAGACTCCCTGTTCTTGATCATCCTCCTCCGCCTTCTCTCCACCACTTTCTCCAAAGAACTGTTCGATCTCCGGCCTTTCCCGACCTCCCCAAAATTATAAGGCGAAGGCGACACAGACGGTGACGTGTCCGCACAGCTCTTCACGACTGTATCAGCATACAAATTACTCACGGGGGACCCACTGGCAACCATTGTGCCATTGTTCAGTCCAGCGCCTAAAACCGCGGGCCCACCTTGAACCATGGTACTATTATTATTCACGACATTTTTTGTTCCAACTATTGGCCCTTTTGCAACGGAGCTCGAGAGCTGAGAGTTGCTTCCTCCGATTTGTGTTTGTGAGGAAAAAGTGACGGTGGTTTGCTTTGGGAATAGCGGCTGCAATTGTGGCTGCTGAGGAGATGTTGTTACAGTTGCAGAGCTCATATTAATCCCCACATTCGCAGAATTTAGAATAACACTGTTCTTATCCGCTTGTTGACCGGTCAACATGACGTTATTTTGAGATGGCTGAGGTTGAAATCCGGTAAAACCCGAGGCATTCCCATTTGATGCGCCGTATATATATTGCCCGTTTGACCTCAAGGCAGGTTGAACGTCTTCTCTAACAACACCCGCCTTGAATAAAAAGTCTTCGAGTGTCATCTCCCCCAAAGTAGGCTCCCTTTGGCCCAAGCTCGAACCTTCACCATTAAAACCAGTGGTTTCTTTTAAAACGTCCCTCCAAACTTCATCGACCGTTTTTTGGCTAAGTGTACGTGGCAGAGTAAGAGAGCCTTGCCGTTGTAAATTTCCACCCGAGGCACTCCCATTTGCCCCAACCATGGATGCCTGAAAGGCCTGGCTCTCTTCAGCTGTCCAGATGCTCTTTAAGAGGTCTTCCATGTTCATGGACCCGAAATCCTTTCCTGGTCCACCAAGTGTATTTTGGAACTCATCGAACGTGAGGGAATATATAGAAGACTGGCGAGCCAACGGGAGATTGACAGGTGGCCTCCCGTCCAGTTGGGATGTGTCCCCAAGGTTTTTGAAGTTCGTGTAAGAGCCCATGGTTACGAGAGCACAAGAGAAGTAGCCACTAGCTGAACAGGTTCACAATGATTAGTATAGCAACCAAGAAAAAAGAATGCAAATGTGGCTTGCATGCTTAATGTATACAAATATTCCATTCGTTGAAGAAAGAAAATAGGAAGAGCAAGATTCAAAAGTGAACCAGGCAGATATGATCTCACCCTGAAAAGATTAGGCTCGGACTTCAAATATCTTCTGAAAACTTCTCTTTTTAAAAGCTGCGGAACGAAAGAATTGTACATGAGAAAAAAGAAGGAAAACCCAAACATAAGATAAACGGAGGGAAAATTTAAAACTAATCGCCAAAGAAAAACAATGTATACAATGAAAAATGCACTTCCTCCATCCTATTCGTCAAATATAGGCTCATTGTCCCTTTCTGCCGTACATATTTAACGTCTGGTTCTGTTTGTGGATTTTAAATTATGTGATAGAAAAACTGAAGTACTCAGATCTAATTCATTTTGATTTTTGTATTACTCATTGTTGCGAAAAGTTCATTTTCATATTACATATACTGCAGAGGCAAACTAGGAAAAATAACACGATAAATAACCATCACAAGCACCATTATTATGTTCTATTAAATGTATGTAAATAACCAGATAAATAACCATCACAATCACCATTATTATGTTCTATTAAATGTGTGTAAAGTACTAATTTTCCCTCCAAGCTGAGGGAGCTAGAGATATGACAGACAACTGAATGCTTAGCTTTGAAGACCTGACAAAATCATAGCAAGGAAGCTTTCCCTTGAAACCAGAGAGTAAACAGAACACAATATTTTCTATACGAACCACCTAAAGCTAAACAAACATACAATACAAGCAATAAATCCATTGTTAATGCACGTCTCACACCGAATCTCAGTCCCAGTTATTTCAGATCTGAAACAAAACACAAACACACACAATCACAAACAATTCTATCAATGAGAATATAATCAAAAAAGCTACACTAGCTCAATAAACATAAACATACTTGCAAAAGCTTCGCCGCACAAACGTCATCCCTTAAATCCAAAACCCAATCCTCCTCACAACCATTTGCACAGTTTATTTCTGTTTTTCGCATTTTCCTCTCACTGGAGCTCATTATCCAGCTCAAAAACCAAACCATATACCACAACAAGACCAAATAATTCAGAAAACCACAAACCCCAATCGAATAATTCAACTGCAACAACCCTAATTTACCCATCACCAACAAATCCACACAAACATAAAAATCGAATCGAATTTATCCAGATCCCCTCGCTCAATAAAAAATTAAAAATCATCCCATACTACTGAAATTCATGCCTTAGCTGTGAACAAACAGGATTCACAAAACAAATTGTATCAAAATTCGAAATTAATTAAAAGATGGAAAGAGGGGGGGTAATTGAAGGAGCTCTAGAGAGAGAAAGCAGCTAAGATAGAGATAAGAATGGGATTTAACCTTAATTAGCTAGAGAGAGAAAGAGGATCGTGGCGTTTCCTTCTTCGTCGCCGGCTCGAGCGTCGCTGGTGTCGACAAGTGTCTTGTGTCGCTGTGACACGACTTTTAACTATAAATCCCCCTAAAAAGAATAGTTGTATTTCTAATACGTCGTTTTGCTCGATTTTCGTGATATTTTTGTTAAAGTTCTTCGTGGAGCTTCTATAGTGACGCAAGTGGACCAATCAGAATGTGCATTGTTTTGATGTGACGGGAAGCCAATGAGAAAGCGCAACGTGGGGGAATCTGTGCCGTATAATGGACCTGCCGACATTGCGGTAGGTGGCGGTTTTCACTGGTCGGGAGTGTGAGTGTGGAATAATCTACGCGCGCGTGCATGTCAGTGACAGTGAAGCTGCACTGAGTAAGAGCACGCAAATAAGCAAATAATTAGGTGGGTGTGTCAAAGTCTTTACGAAATATAATCCCTCAAAAAAGCGCGTGAGGTAAGGTTTTTTTTTTTTTTTAAATGAGACATGTGTCCCATTTTTATTGGATTATGAATTATATATATATAAATTATATTATTATTTATATTTTATATTAAAAAAATAAAAATAAAGTATCAAAATTCATAATTTTTCATTGTCTACAAATAGAGACCACATTCGATGGTTTTAGAACATAATTAATTTATTACTTTTGACAATTAATTTATCTTATTGAAAGATGAAGATGCAAATCTATAATAAAATGAACATGTTACATAATAAAATGAATATGTTATAGAATAAGATGAACATGTTACATATTTACACAATAATATGAACATGTTATAAAATAAGATGAACATGTTACATATTTACACAATAAGATGAACATGTTAAATAAGATGAATATGTTACAAAATGAAATGAACATGTTATAAAATAAGATGAACATGTTTCATATTTACACAATAAGATGAACATGTTATAAAATAAGATGAATATGTTACAAAATGAAATGAACACGTTAGTAGGGTTGGATCCAATGAGACTACTCCTTAAAATGAGTACGTAATACTCAATCTTAGCCACTCATTTTGTCTAGATCAAATATTCATGTTAATCAATTAAAATATACATAAATTAAATAATAAAAATAATTATTAGTTGACTCCGGCGTTGACCGTTGACTTCCGACTAAAATCGTTGACTTCTGGTGTTGACTCCGGCGTTGACCTGTTGACCATAATATGTATTGTATATGAAGTAAATATGATGAGGCAAAATTAGTGTAAATATGTTGCAAAATTATTGTAAAAATGTTGCAGGGTTAATTGTTTTTATTTGCAATGTTTAGTTGTATTCAGTTTGAAAGGTTAGTTGTCTGTAATTGCAAGGTTAGTTGTCTTTAGTTGCAAGGTTAGTTATGTCTAGTTGCAAGGTTAGTTATGTCTAGTTGCAATGTTAGTTTTCTCTAGTTGCAAGGTTAGTTATCCGTAGTTGCAAAGTTAGTTCTATCTTATTGCAGAGTTAGTTGTTTTTATTTGCAGTGTTTAGTTGTATTCGATTTGCAAGGTTAGTTGTTTGTAATTGCAAGGTTAGTTGCCTTTAGTTGCAAGGTTAGTTGTTTTTTGTTGCAAGGTTAGTTGTATGTAATTTCAAGGTTAATTGTATTTGGTTGCAAGATTAGTTATATTTAGTTGCAAGGTTAGTTCTGTCTAGTTGCAATGTTAGTTTTTTTTAGTTACAAGGTTAGTTGTCTGTAGTTGCAAAGTTAGTTCTATCTTGTTGCAGGATTGTTGTTTTTATTTGCAATGTTTAGTTGTATTCAGTTTGCAATGTTAGTTGTCTGTAGTTGCAAAGTTAGTTGTCTTTAGTTACAAGGTTAGTTGACTTTAGTTATTCTTTCATACATGATGCATACTAAGGTCAACGGGTCAACGCCGAAAGTCAACGGTCAAAGCCGAAAGTCAACGATTTTCGCCGGAAGTCAACACCAGAGTCAACGATAAACGCCAGAGTCAATGGTCAAAATAATATTTAAGTAATTAAAAATAATTCTTTATTATTTAAATCAAAATCTAAATCTTGTGACTAGGAATGAGTCTACGTCTACACTTTAAATAAGCGAATGCATTAGAACCAATCCATATATATATATATATATATATATATATATATATATATATATATATTAGGTGGGCACATATCTAAATATAAAAAATTTCGTTTACATGTTTCTCTTATTAATTTGAGCACAAATTTAGATATAAAATTTTTCGTTTAATTGTTTTTTGTTGTTTGTTTGTGTGTGAATAATTTGCTAAATAAACTTATTGAACTTTTGATTAGCTCAAACTCAATTTATTATTCGAGCAAAAATTTAGATTAAAAATGTTTGTTTAATTGTTTTTTAAAGTTAAAAATTATTTGTCTGAATAATTTACTAGATACCTCCCTATAATTACACATATTAATATTACAAAATATGTAGAATAACATAGTACACAAATTAAATAACTGACATTTTCCTGGCCCGTGTTGGTTTGCACCATCAACATGACTGTATGTGATGAACCTTCAATGGCTGCAATGCTACGAAATATTCTACGAAATATTGTACTCAGGACAATAGAAACAGTCAATTTCGGAGAAAGATTTGTCGCCATTGTACGACACCAATGACCTAACTTGAGTTGGACTACCTGCACGCGTTAAATTCCGTT